ATAAGCTCTGTGGGCTTGTGCTACCGTTTGGGTTTATGTATGTTATACATTTTGCTTCTATGAGGCGACGGTTTGGTTTATGAGTATAACTTAGGGAATGAAGGCGGGCATGTATGACTCCTGGGGAATTGTATTGCATGATTGCCATTTTGTTATGAGGCCTTATTTGCGGGCTTGTTTATTCTATATATTTGGTGTTTGGTCATGAATGAATATATACCACGTCTGACCTAGTTCTTTTGCTTTTGTATGTTTTCAACTCCCTCTTGGCCACCGACGTCCTTGTCAAAATCTGTTCTGGGGATCTCAAAAGCCTCAGTAACCCTGGCATATGTGATTCCTCCTAATCGGCTGACTGGCTTCAATACACCAGGATCAACCATATTCTTATCCTCGTTCAGCGCATCCTCTCGAACCCAGAAGCGAGTTCCCTCGAAAACGGCCATGCAGCCGGACTTGTTTCCAGGTCGTGCCTTGCTGTCGAACTCCTTGAGCATGTCGAGCTTGCACTCAATGCTGACAATAGCCTCGCCCACTCGAGCACACTTGACGGTCTCACAGTCGTACTTAGGTGTCAGGCCTGAGATATCCCACTCCGAAACATCAGGAGGGGCGTTGACACTAGCTGAGTTTGCGGCCTCGATGAAGTGCTCTGAGATGATGTTGATAACACACTCGCCGGAGTCGGAGACGTTGCGAAGTGTATCCTTCGCATTGGCGAGTCCAGATGCAAAACCGACAACAAACATGGGCGGGTCGTGGCTCATCATGTTGAAGTAACTGAACGGGGCGAGGTTCTTTTTTGTACCGTTGGGAGCTTGACTGCTCACGAAAGCGATAGGACGCGGTACAATAGCAGAGATGAGAAGCTTGTAATTGAACCCCGCAGGGCGACCCTCCTCATGAGGATCTATGGTGACATGTTTCTTATCGCCATCATCCTTGCCCAACTTGTTTGCACCCTCACCAAAAGTCCAATCCGCGTCAACAGTCTTGGTGTAGCGAAACTGAGACTTGGCATCCAGCTCCGGTCTCGAAGCCTCGACCTTCTTAAAATCCGGGTGAGGATTGCGCTTGATGATTGCGTCTCCCATGATGAATCGAGAGGTTGAAAATAGTCGCGATGAGTGAGTTGAGAGTGGTTTAAAGATGCGACGCATGGGGGACTTGACGTGGGTTAAAATAAAAGTATGGGGATATTCGGAGGGGCTCGGGGTTAGATGTTGATTCCGGGGTATCTTTTCTATGGCAGTTAATTGGTAATGTTGCTTGCTAAGATCGTTTGTAATGCGTGATAAAGCAAGTGGATTGTCTTTTTTCTCCACTGGTATTGGCTTTGAGTGAGGTCATTGATTGTGTACATTTCAAGTCACACACTGAGACTTGATTCTTGACTATGATTCGAAGGGAGACTACTAGTTTCGGAAATACGGAATAGGAGATGTATGATCTTATAAGTAGTGGTTACTGTGGTCGGAGAAGACAGGTTACTTCTTTGATCCAATGTAACAGAGCCATTATTGCTCGTGGATCTCCTCTTACAACGGGTGAAGCCAATACTGCAACATCGTTGAAATTGCTCACAACTTGGCCAATTGCCAACCTTGAGCTATCATCAAGATCCTTGTGATCAATCATTATTGGACATCAATGCCAACGGTCTTCCCAGTTGGTGTGTATCCGATGGATGGTACTCTGAGCTGACATCAGAACTCAATATCGATGACTAGATATCAACTACATGTTTAAGAACAAGGTAAGGACGATGGCACACTGAAGACAATAATAACATATAGACAGAATGCTATCATATCAACCATATATATTTAGGGAATTATAGTCTACGCCATTAGTAGTGATTTTCGCAAGATTAGGTTGTTCCAAGTATAGGGTAGCCATCTTACATAATGCAACCACTATAACCACTTCATGTGACAGCGTGAGCTAGTGGAACGCGGAAAGAGGAGTCATTCGCCGCGTCTGACTCTAAGAAAAAAAAAAGTTGATCGTTTCAAGCAGAAATATTGTATTGACTATTATTTATGACTTAGGCAGATGATGCATTTTTGTATCACGCCGAATCCCCCCTCAACTCTTTAAAACTCTCTCATGCAAACATGGGGCACTCGACGCCTCGCACATTTATTCAATTCTGGTAGTCGTCCATTATCACCAACTTTTTCATCAACCTCACCTGGACTTTATTTCTGCAGACGAGCCTGGAACGGTTCACAGCCAAAAGTAAAGTCTCGAGCTTTCAGGAAATCCCGCCTGTTCTCAAAACCTACCGAAAAACCAAAACCAAAAGCAAGCGAGGATTCTGTTGGAGCTCCAATGACGACTTCAGTTGAGATCGCTTCGGCGCCCACCGTGGACACTCCCGGAACTTGTCTCTTTGTCCACAGCGATAAACGGTCTTATCTGTTTGGAAGACCCGAAGAAGGGACTCAGCGCGCTTTTCAGAGCAGAAGACTGGGAATGGGAGCAACAGAGCAGGTCTTTCTGAGTGGCAGTGTCTCGTGGGAGTTGGTTGGAGGTCTCTTCGGCTATGTTCTCACAGTTGGTGGCGCACTAGAGGCGAGCAGAGAACAGACAGCTTTGATCAATGAGGAAAGGAAGAGCAAGGGCCAGAAGTTGACGAAGCAAGCTGCTTTCGAAACCATTCACATCCATGGTGGCGAGAATCTAAACCACACTCTCGCCGCATGCCGTCCCGTCATCTTACGACAACCGATTTCCGTGCGCACGCATGAGCATAGAGAAAACCCTCGGCTTGAGAAAATCGAGAGCATAGAACCCGACTGGAAAGACGACGTGCTTCGCGTGTGGAAGATTCCGATTCAACGAGATCGCTCCAGCAGCCCAAGGAAGCGTCGCAGGTCGAGCGCCATCGTTGGAGACCAAGACGAACCACAGTTCAAAGAATGGTCACCACTTTCGGACCCTGAATATGCGACCACTCTCGTCGAGAAAGTCATGTTCAATGGACGACTCAAAGGAAACGGCATGCTCATCCCTGTCAAGCTGAGCGAGGTCAAACCCAAGGATACTACTGTCTTTACACGTCAAAATGGCGAAGCAGCGCTTTACAAGGGTCCTAGACCTGGTGACGGGTCAAAATTGGCAAACCCGGATCAAATTGTTTGGGTATTCCCCGAGAAGGAGGCTCAAATAGATCGCAGCGGGGATATTCTCAACGTGACACATCGGCCACTGCCCCCAACTATCTACAGCCAAAGCTCTATGTGCTATATCGTCAAATGTCTTGATCGCCGCGGAAAATTCAACCCTCAGAAGGCCAAGGAGCTTGGAGTACATGTCACTGACTTCAAGCATTTGACTGCGGGCAATACTATAGTAACAAAAGATGGCGTTACTGTAACTCCTGAACAGGTCCTTGGCGAGACTCAGCCCGGTCAAGGATTCATCCTCGCTGACATCGAATCTCACGACCTCATTGACTCATTCATGGAGCGACCTGAATGGTCTAATTCCGAATTGATGTCTCATGTGGCTATTATGTATTGGATTCTCGGCCCTGGAATGGCAGATGATGCTAGAATCCAGAAGTTTGTGGACGAGCATCCCACGATGAAGCATTTCTTCTGTGCTCAAGACACATGCCCCAATATGATCTCTCTGGCTGGGCCTGGGCAGCTACAGACCAAGCTACGGAGGGTCGACCCTGAGAGATTTACTCTCCTCAAATACAATAACGATGTCAAGGGAGTCATGCCAAACGGACCACAAGTTGAGTCTGGCCGGACAGGAAACAAAATTTCGTTAATGCCCCGACTCAAATTCAGCGAGAGCGAGATCGCCCCGTTCCCTAATCTCATAGAGGCAGCTCAGTCTGTCAGCAATGAGATTCTCGAACTAGCAAGAAAGGCTCGTGAAGAGACTTCTGATCCTGAGTTTCTACGAAAATTGGAAGAGGATGAACAAGATATTCCCAGCCGCGATGCTGAAATCATCCCCCTTGGAACTGGCTCTTCAATCCCCGGCAAATATCGTAACGTTTCGTCAACACTGATTCGGGTACCTGGTATTGGAAACTATCTTCTCGATGTTGGTGAGGGTACTTTGGGTCAAATCCGACGGCTCTTCGGAGAGGAGGAAACTGGAAATATTCTCCGAGATCTCAGGTGCATTGTCATCAGCCATCTTCACGCTGATCATCACCTTGGTACCCCTAATCTGATCAAAGCCTGGTATGAACACACCATTGAAGACACCAATGCCAAGCTAGCTGTATCTTGTATATCAAGATACAAGGCGCTCTTGGAAGAGGTCTCTCAAGTCGAGGATATTGGTTTCCACAGACTCCATTTCCCCCATTGCAGCAGCACCAAGCCTGATAAGTTCAACAGCGGTCCTTTCATGATCGAGAACGGAGACTTCGGGCTTCGCGCTATCAAGCGCATTCCAGTTCCTCACTGCTGGCTCTCCTATGGGACAGAACTCGAGCTTACATCCGGTCTCCGCATCGCATACTCAGGTGACTGCCGTCCTTCAAACGAGTTCGCTCGGGAGTGCGAAGGCGCCCACCTCCTTGTTCACGAGTGCACGTTCGACGATGACATGCTGGCTCACGCTAAGAAGAAGGGCCACTCTACGATGGGCGAGGCACTAGAGATTGCACGCAAGATGAAGGCTCGAAGAACGCTGCTCACGCATTTCTCGCAACGCTATGTCAAGGCCGATTCGCTGAAGAGAGACGAGAGAGGTCAGGCTGGTGAGACACTCATGGCTCTTGACCTCATGAGTGTTAAGCTGGGCGATTTCAAGAAGGCGGCTGCTTTCCAGCCTGCAATTGCTATGCTCATGGCGGATGCGAGTGACAAATAAGGTCCGTGGTATGAATAGACTTGTATGATATTAAAAGCATAGGGTTGTAACGCTATATATGACCTGTTGATGATGACTCTTTATTGTTCGAAGTGACCCAGACTGTTTTGAACCCTCTGCAGAGCCTTGGCAATAGAATAGATATGGGTTTCTCACATAGGAACATGTCTTAAATTATTCACAGCCGTCAACACAAGCTCTAGGGGTACAATAATCACTTTATAAATTAGAAGGTCACGAAAGGTAGATGGAGAACCAATTATACATTCTATCCATGTCGAGATCTTCTCTAGGGTGGCTGCATGTGCGACTGAACACAGGAGATTCAGCGTCACGATAACTCTACCCCCAAAACAAGCTTTCAGCCAACAAGCAACTCGAAACACTCATATCAACATACCTATCCAAGACATCTTACCATTCATACCTCAACGACAATGATCTTACCAGTCAGTGTGTCAATTGTGGAAAAGAATAGCGGTCTCGTCCTCATCGGAAATAAAAGGTTCCGGCCGCGTGGCCTAATGGCTAAGGCGCTAGATTTCGGTTTCCAGCTCCCGAACTCTCTAGAGATTCCAGGTTCGAATCCTGGCGTGGTCGATTACTTGCTGGAATATATCTTTTGCCGACTGGACACTCGTCGGCATTGTGCTTTTTGCAGATCCGATACTCATAATTGGGGACTCGGGATACCAACCCGCCAATCGCGGCTTGTTGATTTACTGCTTATGGATGGTATCTCTTGAGTGACTGATATCACTGCTCTGATATGGAAGAGACCGGCCCGATATAGATGGATCCTGAATACCTCTTTTGATCTACAAGTTGTCTATTATATAATACTTTTTACCAGAAATTATATATTAATTCTAGAGATACTCATCTCGACTCGGGACTCGTCCCGATTCTGCTTATGCGTAACCCCACGATTTATAGCCCGGGCCGGGGCTGTATGTACGTAAATTAAGCCATGTGCCGGCTCCGAGAGCGGGACTCACCTGCGGCTATGTTAGCTTATCGTCGCGTTTATTCACAGCAATCCCCCTCCACCGGATTTTTTTGTCCCACGAAGTGGTCATTCGGGCATTTCCAGTCCACAAGAACCCCTCTAGCGGTCAATTAACTAATTACCTTTGCTTCGCCTTGCTTTACTTCAGGTCAGGTAGAGCCTTGTTTGTTTTCCTCTCCCGCCGCCCTCTTCTTGCGAGCGAATACCTTCGTTATCTCGAATCCGACAAAGAATCCGTCCCGTATCTACACCCAGAACATGTCGGCCTCGCTTCCTGGCGCGCGGGAGCTTCCCGCTTCCCAGTATGACCTTGAAACATATATGGGACGGGTGCGCCATACAATGGGCATTACAGACCCGACGTAAGTCCAATTGCTGAAACTCTGAATCTCCGACTTCAAGGACCATGAGCTAACCGTGCTGTCGCATTCCCTAGGACCCTGTTGGCGGGCAAGACCGGACTCGAGGCGGCCAAGAAGCTGGTGACGGATTACAAGACGGGAAAGATCGAGCACATGTCGCCATCTTTGTGGCATGCGAAGAAGGTTGTTGACTCTACGCTGCACCCTGGTATATATGGCCCTGGCAGAGTGCAATCGTGACACCAGCTGACGAGATACTGTGCAACAGACACCGGCGAGCCCGTCTTCTTCCCCTTTCGAATGTCTTGCTATGTCCTGACCAATCTCGTCGTGACCGCCGGTATGCTTCAACCTGGCATGGGTACAGTCGGCATTGTTGGATGGCAAGTCTTTAACCAGTCGCTGAATGTCGCATTCAACACTGCCAATGGCAACAAGTCCTCCCCCATGTCGACCGAAGTCATGATCAAGTCATACCTCTCCGCTGTGGGAGCTTCTTGTTCCGTCGCTCTTGGTCTTAACGCCATTGTGCCTCGACTCAAGGTCACACCCTCCACCCGCCAAATCCTCGGTCGACTGATTCCCTTTGCTGCCGTTGCTACAGCTGCTGGCCTCAACACCTACCTCATGCGCCGGGACGAGATCGTCAAAGGTATCGATGTTCGACCTGTGCTTTCGGACGATGACAAGCAGAAGCTCATCGCCGAAGGCAAGTCGGAACGAGACGTCCCCTCGCTGGGCAAGTCTCAATCTGCTGCCAAGCTCGCTGTGTATCAAACCGCAGCTAGCCGAGTCTTCACAGCGTCTCCTATCATGGTTCTACCCCCTATGGTCTTGTACCATATCGAGAGCAGGCAAGCTTGGTACAAGAACCTCATGCAAAAGGAATGGGTGCGCTCACGGCCAGCACTCGTCAAGGGTATTCCCCTGGGCATCAACTTGAGCTTGATCGCCCTCACCTCCTTCGCTGTACTTCCTTTCGCTCTGGCTGTCTTCCCACAGCAACAAGAAGTGAGCGCTGGATCACTCGAACCCGAGTTTCATGGCAAGGGAGGTAAGAATGGCAAGGTTGTTTTCAACCGTGGCCTGTAAACGGCCTCTGTTGCATCAGAAACCCGTTTAGCATGATGGTCGTTGGAACGATTGCACATCTTGCTCAATCTACTGTGACACCATGCTGTCTGAACAATAGTCGAGAGATTTCCTTCAGATCTTGTTGAGAAAGCAACTTGTCAGTGGCTATCAAACCAGAATTGCCTCCACGCACAGAAGAAGAAAGGGGTTAAAAAGTATGTCTCTTGGTTGGTTTGAAAATATGAGACAACGAGAATCTCAAGGACGGCGTTTATAGTGTAGATAGAGATTCTTTGCTACTTTGAGAGCGTGCCAGGTCTGAAATGTTATGCAGGAACGCGAGCAGAGGAGCTTTTCAGAGCCAAAAGTTGCTCGATTTAGCCAATAGAGCTAGACTTGACTGCATCATTAGATAGTAGATGAATGGGCTCATACAACACCATTTATAGAGAGTGCAATATAGTGTAACTTATACAGTTCTTGACCTAGATCTTACGACCTATATTGACTGACCCTTTTGATGAAAATAGACAGCTGTTGAAGTCTAGGGTTGGCCATAAGGGTGCAGTCGGCAGCCCAAGGTGGCACTTTACCTACCACAATCGAATAAGACAACCTGATTTCATTAAAACACAGCCAATGAAGCATCGGTGTAAAGTTCATCAAGCCAATATCATCAAAGCGGGAAAAGAGCCTTGAAAGTCTGTCTAGTGATTGCACATTTCGGTCAGACACTCAATCTATCGCCACCAGGATCGACAAGGCTAGCCCAGGCTAGATGCTGAGCCGACGCGTCGCGCCTGTTGAAGGAATGTAACCAAGCAAATGGCAGGACTGCATATCTTGTGATAACCAAAAGAGAGAGGGGTAAATTCTCTTTGCGTTGATGTTGACAAGAACAAAGACTCGTGCGTGAGATAGGTCTCCGCAGGAATATTCGTGAACTGTCTACCTACTTCGTAGATAAGGACTACTCAAGGTGACAAGGCCATGGAAGTTGGTGACGATTCTTGGTGGGGCGTATTGGTTGGCAGTACAGAGTGGCAGTGGCCTTGGATGGGGCAGAAGTGACCACTGCTGAGACTGTTAATACAAGGCGAAGCAGGAAACGCCGAGTCGAAAGCTTGTCCAGTTCGTTGTCTTCTGGGTTTGATGAAACGGGGGTGCCTAATACTAATTTGACGAGGAGGATTTGGTCAAGTACCGTAGTGTCTCGGTTCGGCAAGGAACACCTATGAATAGCAACGGAATCATGGCCGTGATGAGAGGATGCGAAGTTTGATGCCCTCATAATAGACGTATCGCCGTCAGTAAGGAAATGAGACCCAGCCAACAGGAAAGCGTAAATTGGGAACCCCAATCACGTTCGTGGCGCACAGTGGGGTGCCCTTGGGCTGAGAGAAGCAAGGAACGCTACGCCAGAGTTGTCACAGTTGATTCAAGACATACATAGCAGATTCACACTGTTGGCTCATAGATAATGCAGTAACGAGAGAGAAGATACCTGAGATGGCGTTCGTTCTCACAGTACAGAGAATCGCTGGCAGCCCACCAAGATCAACAAAGCCCTCGGAAAGAATGCATTTGGGGTTGGCCTCCATATGCTGAAATCTGTAATTGGAGGGTCCAAGTCAAACATTCTGGAGCCGGGGAATAGTGACTGGCGGATAGGAGGGATCCATCGCCGAGGCGGGAGACGGGCTAGACGGGCATGTGCCGCAAGAGTGGACAAGTGTGTGCACCTGTGTGAAATGGTACGAATAAGTTCTCGAACACATTGTTCAGTAACCAAGTCCAGCCAAGGTTGTGAGTATGCTCGTACTTCCTCAGAACAAGACTCGGGAAGCGACATGATCAATTTTTAACGCTGCCGTTTATTGTATCAGCTCCTTCAGGCTCCTCTCAATATGCGGCTGGCTGCGACGAATGATGTCGGAGGCCGCGAGCTGACTGAACCTCTCATGCTGCAGCCCAAGACATTGGGTCAGCAAAAGTCCGGACGGTGTCCACTGTGTACGGATCACTGGTGGTCATGCTGGAGTGTGGTGCAGAGAGGCTCTGGAACTGTAACGGCTGCATGCCCGGAACGATTCGAGACAGAATTGGTGGCATCCATCCCCTCTCTGCAAGTGTGGGGTGCCTTGTCCGGGGTCTTCAAGGGCTGAGACGACGGACAATTGGACTTTCAGAGCCATAGCAGGCATACAGCCAAGCTGAAGGTGAAATAGGGGGCTGTAGTAACACAGAGAGCACTGCTTGTCATGTAATGACTATACCACTCCCACAACCTTGGCCTCAGACATTCTTTCCGACGTCAACAAGTGTCAGCAAAGAGCGAGCACTTCGATATGCACCAGAAAAGGCACGGGGTTCCTGGAGGGCCTTGGGTTGGCTAAAAGGCCCACCGCCAGCGTCACCCTGCCCTGGGACGAAATGCGTACCAGATCTGATGCTCTCAGGTGCGCAGAGAGCGAAAGTACCTAGGTAGAGTGCTAGACTTCCAGACGATTAAAGTTGAACTCTCTTTCAAGCGGCAAAGAGGTACCAACGGGTAAACCGAACCTATTTGCAATTGTCCCTGACTTGCCTGTAAAAGGTTTTTTTCCCTGCCATCAAACAGTCAAATTCCAAATACTGCACGAAGGAGTTGTATGAACAGACACAGGTGTGATTGTTCATGGCCACCTTTAGGTTAAGTGATAGGTACTGTATGTATGGATACTGTTTGGTGTGTATGCTCCGTAGGGTGTGGGTTCTGTGTGTGTTTCTGTGCAGTAGGATCGCGTTTATGGCTGCCCTGTGAATGGATCTCTCATGACGTATATCCGATATGTTATTAACTGCTCATTCCCATCAAATCGTCGAGATAAGCAGAAGAAATTGTCAATTTTGAAGTCCGTGGATGGGTGAACATAACCGAATTTTGTTTCTCAGTAAACTCTGTACAAGCTCAAACGAATGATTCCCA